CTGCAAACACCTTTCCGCAATCTATGCAACTCGATCGCTGCCATGATCCTCTCCCAGCCGAGGCTGCAAGGCTTACCGCATCCCGCAAGCTCCTCAATCTATCTCGAAAAGCTACGATGTAAGCCGCACCGTTGAGAATCTGTGTAGCGAGCGCGTGGCATGACTTTGCCATCATGGAGACTGGGGAAAGAAAATCGCCGACAATGACTGAAGGGATCGGGGTCGAAGTAGAAAAAAGACAAAGTAGAGCAAAGCTTCGTAACCACCATCTTAGCGACTTAGAGAATTACGGAGCAGGACCTGAATGGCGATCAGAGAACAGCTACAGTTATATGTACAAACGACGCAGCAGAAGCCAAAGACCCGGAACCGAAGTGTGAAGGATAAGGGAAGAGTGCACATCGATAATACACTTATTAGCCAGTATGGGCAAGTTTTCTACGTTCCATTCTAGAGGTACTCGCGTTAGTTACAGAGACACGGATGAGACCAAGGAGGTCAGAACAAGTGTGCCTTGATACTGAGAAATGTGAACGGGTTCCCTTTGTGACTGTATTAGAGAATGGATAGTTGCAGATGATATGTGTACTGTGCGCATCACACAGATTAGCAACCTAACGAAACAAGGAGAGCAGTCCATACATCATTCACTATAGAATAATGGTGTGATGTCCTACTCATCAATATCGATTTCAGACATCAATTAATAGAAACGCCGATGCGCTCGGATGCCAACATAAATATATAGGAGACCCGGCAACAGCACTAGACTTACGAGAACAATATAACTACTAACTCGTAGTAGGTTCAGTCAGGCCGACGTTACCGTAGGCCTTCTACTTTTCACTTCTACATGTAAGGCTACGACAAGTCGTGGGATCTAACTTATGACATGTTTCCGTATCGCCAACAATCGAAGCCACAAATCCAACACCGACCGATCATAGCCCTAAATAACAAAACCGAGTAGGCTTGAAGAGACCTCGGCACGGCCACATATAACTCCAACACATAATCAATCGAGACAAATCAGCCCATCATCCGATCGACTTTCGAATTCGCGATATTGAAACGACAAGTTCCATAACATTCAAATTAACAGAAGCCTTCCAGCAACCTAGCAAAGATAGCCTACAAATATGGTGTAACTGCTCAGTGAAGCAAACGAATCCGTAGAAAACCACTTGCGATATCCTTTGACGTGGGACCTACGACAAATCACCATACAACCTGGTGCGAATAAAGCTACTCTTACGATGAGTATGTTATCACTTGGGACTAGTAGCTAATTTAGTGCGCTGAAATATGCTACTCCTGTGGCGAACTTAGTAGGTCTTCTAAGGAGTCTCGTACCTCTTGGGGCAAGGTGAGAGTTCAAGTGCGCTAAATAATAATTCCCCTGCTGCAAGTCTAGGGCTCATCTAACAAGTCCCAAATCGTTTATCGGACTTTGGTCCGAGAAAAGACCGCCGGGGAATACATCTTTGAGTTGCTGTCCATGACTTGTGCAGGATTTAATTGCCCTCGAAAGGTTGCTAGAATGTGGGTGTGCGCACTCAGCTGCGCTGACGAAGCTCACGTATATCACACCAGTGGATAGTGTGACATATTCTATGCGATCACGAGGCAAGAAATGTCTGTACTACAACTAGTCTCCATAGCGGATGAGGGCGCTGTTCGATCAGGTCGTCATCAGTCCATACTAGAGAGCTTCCGGTATGACTACCTCCTGTATCGCTTCTATCAATCTTCAACCTGACGTTTCAGCGAGGAAAATGGTGGGTGGGTCGCCGTATGATAGTGACCCTAGCGACAAGCGGTGAAGTCACCCTAGGCTTCGGCTATTAACTGTCTCTATCGGTCGAGAGATAAAGACAGGATTTGTCGCTAGTTATCAATCCAAAGCGATCGTGCCACGCTCCATTTGCATGGCGAAGGCAACTATGACTAACGATCTTTTCTTTAATTAAACAGCTCCGAGTTGACGATAGTGTCGGATTCTTGGGATTTTAACGACTCGTCGCGATCATGGCACTGGTAACTAGATATCGCCTTACTAACTAGGCCGCTAATAACTTCAGTGACGACATAATGGTCTTCTTTATGTGAGTAAGGCTTAACTCGAGACTGTACTATTCGAGGCTGCCATTTCGACCCTCGAGAAAGCTATTAAACTCCGCCCCTATTAAAAACAGAAGGACAACCCTATTCTTCTTGTAATCGAAAGGCTCTACAAGTAATTAACAAGAACTTCAAAGTTATAACAATTAGCTCTTCTATACTATTATCAACAGATAGTGCAATACATCTTTACGGTGCAATTAAGCGGACGTCAGGTTAGAGACACTACGCCTTTCAGTATGTGATGTATCTACGATGAGCTATGTGTGCATGTATCATCCTGGCTGGTTGTTATTTACCCACAGACCTTTCAGGATGGTATGTTGTTAAACCGTCTTTTAAAGTTAGTAGAATATAACTTGAGCCTACAGAGGCACTGTCGAGAGATAGATGCCCCAGCGGGGACATCGAGAACCGTTAACTGATGTCATACTATAAATGCTATCGCTGGACTACTCCAGCCTCACTCAGGCTCGTCGCATCGCACTTGACCAAGGTAGTGGACTTTCCCGAAAGGTGGTCCCAGAGACTCACGACACTGCGAGGCGGACGAGAAGATGTGAAAATTCTAGTAGTAGGAGGATGAGACCCAGGATACCGGAGTGCGTAATGCTAATAGCCAGCCTTCAGCGCACCTACTTAGTATAATCCCTCTACAGGTCATGGCGTCAGTCGATAGTGGCCCTCTTTGTAGGTAGTCAAGCAACGACACGCGTTGACGTATATTAAGGCTTATGGCTCTAGGCTTGAGAGGCATAAACGTTAAGCATCCAATTTTTAAAAGATTTGGAAAGCCTGGGCTTGATAAAGTTGAAGGTTAAAGGAAAAAGAAAAAGTGTTCAATTTACCGGCTCTTAGGCACGCTCCAACGTAAAGCTTCGCCTGGCAATCTGCGGCATGCCATCCAATGAAATGGTGTGCTCGAGCCCATGGCGAATATAATACTTCCCTCAAACCGCCCAATCTTCATATGTCACTCAAAGATTCGAGCAATAAAAGTTCTCAGAAACTACCATCATAGCATAAGCATTGGATAGTCGATGAAGCGGACGGCGGGCGTCTGTGGTGCGGACAAAGCAAGACGCAATCTCGGTAATACAGCAAGGTAGTTATTCTGAGTAATCGGGAAGAAGTGTCTGGGCTTGGAACACAGATAGCGCGTACAGAAAGTGCATGGGCGTGGCGTACACTCGGTCAAACTGCTACCATAACTTTCATATTACTTGGTACGGTGATCAAGTCATTTGCTTCTCCTCGATGTGTCTGGTCGTCAGTATAGTACGCTCGTCTTCTACAGGAGACCTATGAGATACTGAAGAAATTAAGGGCTTTGGCAGAGATGATGCAATAGCAGTAAGGTATCATCTCCAGGGTGGGCAGTGGATCGATCTTGATAACGCTTCGGGGCCCCAACCTTGGAGTTTTAAGGCAGGCTTATTTCCCAGTCATCCGTAGTCATCGAGACGCTCTCTTAGACAACGAGCGAAGGATAAAGTCGGAAGTATGCCAGCAATCTCAAGAATGGACAATTTGATGCAAGGATGAGAGGTTGCGAAGGTCCAACTTACGAATTCGCAGCCAGTCACAATGTTCTCTTTGTCTATTAGGCCACTTGGCAAATTACACCACGTAGCCACGATAGCGTAGATCGAAAGGTATAAGCAGAGGTCGTACAGGAAGGAAAGTGGTCCGGGGACCACAGAGAAGAGACGAAGAGACGGAGCCACGAGGACAAAAATACGAGGTGGATATCCAGAAACTCGGAATCACAGTAATTCGAACTTCTATCCGCTGTCTATGGTACATATGTGAACCCGTCCAACCACTTTGACCAATACGCTATTCGTGCTCTCCTTAAGCGTCGTGTTTGGTAACATGAAGTCCTACAATTATGCTGTCCAGGCGTAACTCCTTACGAGCTACTTACCGTACAAACTAAAGAGAGGTGAGATTATGAAAAAGTACAGTAATTTGTAAAGTCTTTTTGCTAATGTCAGGTCTAGTCTAGTAAACTACAGGGTGATACCAAGTCTATTAAATAAGCGACAATTATGTAACTATAATTTCGCTAAATACAATATAAAACGTAAAGTTAGTTTACGGTAGTGATTTACATGTAGCGGGACCACTAACGTGGATCGTCAATACTTAACATTATTAGAACTTAATACCCTGGATATATCTTTATTACCATCGGGATCGACGTCGTCGTAGGCGAATACATAACCTCTGCCGTCAGTTTCGTATGAATGAACGATCTGGCTATAATGATTTGTAGGATTAGCGGCGTAATAAGATCGTTAATCTAGGATTGGCTGTATATTTCCATCACTAACTAGTAAAGTAGATCGCATAATACCAGTGTGTAGACGTGGAATAACAGCAGTGTAAATAGGGTTGTTATCCTCGGAAACTGCAAACCGTCTATTATTGTAGCCCTATATGTATTTACTGGTAGGCTTGGAGAGTTTAATATCGCTTCTATTGTATACTAATTTTACGTTAACGACACTATACTCTACTATACCGGCTTTAAACTATATGTTTATTATAAGACCTTATGTACTATACCTATACTAGACCTCGTTAATACAGGAATTTTAATATTTATTTAATAACTTCTCTAATATGCCACTCATTAGTTATCGACGGTAATGAGGTTTCTAAGCACCATGTTTAGAAGTAAAGATTCAAACGCGGACAACAGTCACGCTGAAGGTACCAAAGTTATAGAGCTGGAACACACGGTATATAAAGGGAAAGAAACATGACAGAGTTTAACTCTTTCCAGATGCAGAATAGCTTGATAGCCAACCCATTATATAACGGTATCCAGAACTCGAACTCCAAGTCTTACGAGGGTTGGACAGCACTATCACTCATAACAAACCCATTGGAAACTCAACTACCTTATCCCGGATATAATCTGCGAATCCCTTGCCAAAGCCGTCTAGGCGGCTTGTGCTACTGACCCCACGGCCAAGAATACCATAGACGACAAAGTGACATGCATGGATCTGTGAAAATTCCACACGCTCGATGAAGAAGCTATCGCGCCAGTCTTTTCCAAGAAGCTCCTTGACACGTGCTACGGTCATGTACGACTGAAGCCATTTCCAATGAGCTGGGTTTATAACGAAGAGACCAAAATTGAGGTTCGAGCCTTTATCTCCTGAACGAGCCAGAACGATGTCGCCAAGACGAAGACTCTTGGTACATCCCGGAAACACTGTCTGCACCTTGGGGTCATAGCTATTTCGGGCCTCGAGATCTTTGTATGTGGGAGGATGTCCCGTGTCGTGAGATGAAACAACCGCAGCGTTCTTGACAAAGTTGATAGTCTCCTTGATGTCAACCTGCCTGACGAGTGCCGGGTAATATGCGAGGAATGGTCTCGGAACGGCACTGCGAGTGTCGAGAGATGCGTGAAAGCCTACAGGTCATTCAGTTCATATTGTCTCAATAGCAAGACGATTACCAACGTACCGGAGAAATGCTTCAGTGAGATATCCTTGAAGACGCTTGTAACAGCCGCAACTGTCTTTTGCGATTTGGCAGCGATGAAAATTCGCATATACGTCGTGCTTTCCAGTTGACAGGTAGGGTTAATGGCAGGCGTTCCAACCCTGACGGTAGATCGACACGTTAGTAAGATCAATAAGGCATAAATAAACCTAAAACTCATACCTTTGGAACTCTAAAGTTTCAATCTGATTGATAACCGCCTGAGGAAGAAAGTAGTTGACCTGTCTTTCAAGGAGATCCCACTTTTTATTAGTGGCATAACCAGTGGCGTTCAGAAGCAACTCGGCCTCAAATCCCCCCTGGTAAAAGACGGCGAGTTTGGTTGTTGGAGGAGGAGGTGATCCTCGGATACCATGAACTCGAACCCTACGATGACTCATGAGCGCTGAACAATGGAGGGATATGTTTTACTTACCTCTCAGAGCCCACTTTCTCAATCGCGACATCCCCAAGATAGGCACTAACGTCGCTGTTGAGATAAATGTCTCCCTGCAGTTCATAGACAAACTGACACCGGACAGTATCGACATTGACAACACCCTCAGTACCGGGATGCTTTGTAATAACGCATGAGCCATCCTTCGAGATTTCAGCAATAGGAAACCCAGGTGCTACCAAGTTATCAAGATCAAACTTGTCAAATCCAGCAAAGTTTGCCCCAGTGACATAAGCAGAGCATTCGATGAGATGGCCTGCAATAAGAGATCCTGCAAGTTGGTCATAATCAGTCTCGGACCAATTATGCCAGAACCACGCCGCAGCCATGACGGGGCTGGCATCGGCAACCCTTCCACAGATGATAATGTCAGCTCCACGCCTGAGACCAGCCAGGATTCCACGAGCACCAAGATAGGCATGAGCGGATACCATTGGGACCTTTTCATCACCGTTGACGAAAGCATATGTCAATTCCGACGGAACGAAGGAAGCATTTTCGAAGTCGAGATGCTGTAACTCTTCTTTAGTCGTTGGCATGTTCGGTCCGAAGCGATGATACAAGTCGTCTCCCGAAAGATAAGCGACGCTCAAGCTGAGATGTTTCTGCTTGACCTTGATCGTAGAGGTTCAATTAGCTGGTCCTATACGATGAGGCTTTGAACAGGTTACCTACCAAATCTTGAACTCTTAATGCGAGAGCCTTTGGATCAAGGGCACCCCCGTTTATGACCACACGAATACGCTTCCGGGCGATGACATCAATGGTCTGCTGTAGGCCTTCCCAGGCCGTGATTTCATAACCGGGATGTTGACCATTTCTCCACGCGGTGGCATTGTTCGCGAGGTTTACTTCTGTAAATCCACGATATTGCTTAGAACCAGGCTCTTAATGTGAGAGGAAAAGGCAGATACTGTCTCACCTGCGAGATAATCACCGGTTATGAAATCGACATCACCAAGGGTTGCCTGGCGATACATCTCATACGCTGGGTCCCCTGTATTGAACACCGTTAAATAACCAAATCCACCCTACGAAGAGGGACGGAACTAACCATGGTAGCCAGAGCAATTGGCCACACGAACAGGGCGATCTTCGACGGTACGCGACATTCTTTTGAAGTTATAAAACGGTTCTAGAAAATTATGTATGAGAGATAATAACTATAAGCTGGGAGGATTATTTATGATGACCAAATTGGAGACCTCAGGCCTTTGATCGCGAGGCATAGATCCCGTGGGGACAAAAAATGCCGTGGGCCGTGGGTTCCGGGTGCATAAAATCCACGGAACGTCACGTAGGAGGTCTCTTTGGTGATATTGTGGGGACCAGAACTCGAAAGAAAATGGCCAAAACCCGGCTACTATGGAGCGTAGCACCTAGAGCTTGTTTAACTATAAAAGACTCGTGCCTTCATCTCCATCACCGTTCAAACGGCAACTTTTACAGAAATTCTATCCTCTGAGCACTATGGCGCCCCACGAAACAATTCCCGGCACAAATATATATGGTCCTGGCACGTTTATTGACAAGAACTTCATTCCAATCCCTATCGATGCGAAACGTGTATTTGAGCTTTTGGCCTCGCAAACCCCTGGTTTTACCAAAAGCCCAGACGTATGGAGCACAGTCACCTTCAGCGGTGGCTCTACTCCAGTGATTCCTGGCCCGATCAAGAGTCCCGTCGTTGCCGCCGTTCTACATGCAATGTGTGGCGTTGTCGCGAATGAATTGCTTGAGCTCCGGGACGGAAAGCCACTTCGGGACAAGTCGGTGAAAGTCAACACTGATCACGCGGGACTTTGGCTCGGATCGACCTTTACAACCTACGTCAACGGAGAGGACGTTTCAACTCTCTTGAGATCCAACCGATTGAGCTCTCTCTTCGATCGAGACTTTGAACAAGGCTTTTCAAAAGGATTGGCGGCAAGAACGACTGCGATTTATCAGACAAAGGATCCCAAGGTCTGGTATCAGCTCCATGGTTCGCTCGACGCCAACAAAACCCTCCAGTCGATGGGCATTCCTACCAATGTCAAATTTGACACTATGAATGAGTATTATGACTTCATTCAGTCATTCGTCAAGGACTGGAGTCCGGACGAACTTGAGATGCACAACGTGCGCCATGGCCTTTGCGGAAGTATCTGTTACACGCCGCAAGCATGGAAGAATACCGTCATGGGTCAACGCCTAAACTCACATCCGTTGATAAACTACGCTCATCAAACTTATGCTGTCCATACTCCCCAGGGGCCTCTGCCCAGAGTCGTGACGGATAACAGGCCGTTGGCAGGAGTCAAGGTGTTGGAGATGGTACGCATTATTGCTGGTCCGATTATCGGCGTAACGCTGGCTTCGTATGGCGCCGATGTGATTAGAGTCAACTGCAGTAAGCTTGCCGATCTAAACGTGAGATGACACTCCCCTTCGTGCTGAGAATTTAATGGCTCACTCCCCGACCAGGTCCTACAGCTCACTCTGAATGCTGGCAAGCGCACTATCGACCTCGACATAACTCAAACTGAAGACATGACACGGCTTCGTGAGCTGATCTCCGATGTAGACGTCTTTATTCAAGGGTTTCGCTATGGATCATTGGAGCGCAAAGGTCTTGGACTCCGAAGCATGCTCGAACTTGCGGCAAAGAGGGGCAAGGGCATCGTTTACGTTGACGAAAATTGCTATGGCTCCGATGGCCCTTTTGCCGAACGTCCTGGCTGGCAGCAGATCGGAGATGCTGCTAGCGGGACAGAGTACGTCATGGGCAAGTCTCAAGGGCTTGAAGATGGGCACAGCGTTTTGCCTCCTCTTCCAGTATCTGACATGACGACTGGCCTTGTCGGTGCACTTGCAGTCATGATGGCCCTTCGTGATCGGGCTAGTAAGGGAGGCTCCTATCATGTTATTAGCTCGTTGGTTGCCGCCGATGCTATTGCGTTGGAAAAAGAAGTTGGATTGTATTCGCCCGAGATCGTGGCTCAAACAGCTGAAAGGTTTGGCTTTGTGCCCTCGACGTCGGATCAGTTTGTATCCGAGATTATGATTCAGGTCATTGACGGGTGGAAGAAAGGTCTTCCAGGCTGTATAGAGAAGGACTCAGATTTGATGGAAGTTGTACAAGGAGGACCATGGGGCGAGCAGAGACTTCTTAAGCCTGTCACTCAGCTTGGCGACAGCGCAGCTACCCCAAGGTGGACGAACCCCGCTGTACCTAACTGCTATTATCCGAGTAGCATTCACTGGCACGAGGTATAGCCACAGTTTTTGGTAGTGGCTTCCACGTACATGTCACCTAACGTTAGATTTCAGCCGCCCTTTTGGCCTCTTGAATATTTGGCTTCTTACAAATGCTCATGTATGTATATATTCTTACAATGTTTTATCTTCTTAGATGGATGATTTGCTATCTGAGGCACAAAACTTTTACTAATCTCAAGCTTTATTATATCTTCCGTCACTGATGGTCATCGTTCTCGGTATCAAAGCACTCAGCGTCATAGTTGTTAGATGGCGGCGCACCAACTAACATGTCTTGCCAACTCCAGAAAAGACTGACTGGTAGGTCGAATGGGTCTGTATAGCTGGACTCATTTTCAACAGGCAACCCAGCTTCTGCCAACAACCTGTCATGTCTAGCAGTCTGGTTGTATGGACCAGGATTGTGCTGGTCTTGGTCTACAGCATGTGTTGAGCCACTTTTCGCAAGCTTTATCGTCTCTTTGGCAGTGTTCCGAAGATCAGAGCACACCGAGAGGACATGATCGACATATGTGTCAGGCTCTTGAGAAGTAAGTCTTGACAGAAATCGGAGAGTTTCGTCTACCAAAGACAAATCTGAGCTGGCGTCTGGACGGTTGGCATTCGCGATCATCTGGGAAAGCAAGGCGACTGTGGCTGCTGCTGGAAAGTAAACGACACTCCTGTGCTTTAATTAGCGAGTCGTGTTGTTGAGCCACTCACACCTTCATAGGGTCCGAGTATGGACATACCAGCCAAAGGATTGCCCGAATCGCTCATCATAGATGTGTTTGACTAGATCGAGTGCCGACCTAGCCACCTCTGATTGCTTCGTAGACAGTTCACTACGAAGTGGTTGTCGAGATAGCAAGAAAACCCGATAGATGTTGAGGTAGCAGCAATGGCTAGCAAAGTGTAGCCGTAAGATGTGTGTAAGGAAAGAGTCACCTTGTAAAGAGAAATTTCGCTGCGGCTTCAGATTGTCAGGGATACTATCCCTCCATTGATCGAGTTCTCCAAGACATTGTTCTGCGTCAGCGGCCCTCTCTGACGGGGGCCTTTTGAGGGCCTCGGTTGTGTAAAGAGAGTCATATACTCTTCTTTGAATCAGTGCAAACTTTGTGAGTGTAGTGAGGAAATTTAGTTGCTCTCCACAGCACTCAATGACACCCAGTCCATCGCTGGGGCAGTCAGGTGGTGAGGGTACGTCAAAGTCGCGAATGTCTTGAGTCGCAGGACGTCCAGTCCTTACGCACACATCAGCATCCAGTATGAATGCAATCCAAAAGACTCGTTGCCTCTCCTCGACCTGAGTTTTTGAAAAGCCGAAGGACTTGGATCGGTGCAAGCCGATGGATTGTGAGAACCGAATTGCTGTTGCGGTAAATGCAAATAGAGGCTGAGGATTCGGCGTGCCTTGAAAGAACAAGGCTAGACAAATCATGCCTTGCACAGCAAGAAGATCACAAGTTCGCAAGAAAAGTTCGGTAGTAACCGACATGGCATTCTTGACGTGCCCGATACAATTGCGCCAGTTGTCGCCGTCCTCACTAAACTTCTCAGCCCGATTCCTATACGCAAAAGCAAGGACCATATTGAAAGCAGCCCACCAGGACGGGGTGCTGTTTGGATTCCACGAGAACTGCCGATCAACAAGGCTCATGAAATTCGCTTGGTTGAAGATTGGAAGAACCTGATTAAAGGTAACGAAGTATTCCTGAACAAGCTCTAGGAGCAGAGGTTTTGTCGGTAAAGGCTGGGAATACCTCTTCTCGAGCCATATATCGTCTCGTAGCCCTTGCGGATACCAATCAACCAGTCCCCATTTGTTGTGGTTTTGCCGAGTGGTGTTTTGCAGTGTATTATGACCCAGCGGACCACCCACGGCGTGAGTCTCAACGGGACAGACGATAGGGAAACCAGAAGAAGCACCTATAATCCTGTCAGCATATAATCATAGATACTTGAATTTTGTATGGGGGTTTCAAGAGAAACCTACCGAAGAAACGCATTGCCCCTGTCTTGTTCTTCAATGCATAGGACTCGCCGTCGCCTCCGTTTTCCACAGGTGAAGGTAGGGCGGATTGATCATTCCAAGGAGGCGCAGCCGTATTTAGGTCCAAGTGTGGGAAGCGAGATGCATCTGTAGAATCCGGTACTCCGTCACTGGACTCATCTCCAGAAGCCAGTGTCAATGTATCGGGATTGTCATCTGTTGGTTCCAATCGGATTCTTTTGTAAGATGTTGCTTCACGTAAGTTATGCTCCAAGTCTTCTACACGTTTTTCGATCTTGGATACCTTTCTTGCTCTAGGAAAGTTAGACAGGACAATTCATCTTCAACAATAATCTGAGGTATACCGTAGACCGTCTGCATAAGTGCAAGACAGATCAAATGCACGACATGAGACACAGGCAGGTCGACTACCATCACACTTGACTTTTTTCCTTCTACAGATATTGCAAGCCTTTTAGTGTTAGCAATTGGCCTATTATGACGGTAACAGATCGTCATACCTTCGCAAGAGCTGGGCCCCTCGATTTCACCCTTTCACCCATACTTCGCATAAGCCTCCAGCTCTTTAGACTCGAGTAGTCGCAAGGTTTGAAGATTATGTGCAGGGGCACAGTTGAGCCACCGTGTATCAAGGACAAGTTCGAATGTCGAGGCATCGACAAGGGACAAAGGAAGGGAAGTCTCGCTAGCCTTCCATTCCGACAAGTGGCAAGGGCTAAATCCGAGCGCTTGGACCTGTGACATGGCGTCGGACTAATTGCGGACCGTCGGCTATCTCACCCCTGTCTTCCTTGCCCCATGTCGTTCGCATGCTTTCCACACACGCTTCCGTTGAGTCCCCATATCAGTAGGATATATGATGTGATTTCAGTTATGGATAATGGCGACGCTCGATTGCGTTCACTTGGGTATGCGACGAATTCTGTCCAACTTCGTGTTCGACGCGGTATCCATTGGAATGAGTTTTGCTTTCCGACCCTCGGTAAATAATAAGGCCGGCCCAACCTTACAGGCACCAGTGAGCCTCAAACAAAAACTCATCATACTTGACCTATTTCGTTACCTGATGAAAATGTTGAGTCTCATCTCTATCAACGTTCTGCCCAAGCATTAGAGCAAACACTCGCTTGCTAGGAGATAGCCGAAGTAATTCTTGCAGCGTGTTCTCTAGTGTATGAAACTAACCTGATAGGGACCGGGTAATTCTCGGTAGTGTAAATTGATGGATGTCGTCATGGATACACTCACGATAGGCGAATATGTTACTTTAGGGCAAGGGGCCCAAAATCCTTCGTAGCTACCCAAAAGGGATTTTACACAGAGATTTCTCGCATTGAGAGGATAACTTTATGCCATGTAAAAAGGTTTAGCCAACGCTCTAGGGGTAAACCATGTGTGACGTGGAGCTTTAGAGGATCCGCCAGAGGATAATTGGTTTTGTCCACACTTGGGTTGAATGAGCAATTCGAGCGCTCGATAACTCGGGGTTTAATTGATCTTACAACCAATAGATCCACGACCTCGTAAGTGCACTCCTGATAAGAGTCCGATGTATATCTGTGTTGTTACAGAGACAGGAGACTTATCTCACGGCAATGCTGTTGTATCTTGGGGATTGATAATAGCACCGGGGATAGGGGTGGGAATAATTGAGATCTTAAGTGTGGCTAGAAATTGAGAAAGTGATGTGAGTAACACTTGCTCTAGTGGGCAATTATCTACGGTACCTCAAACCAGTTAAATAGTATTAGTAGCTTTAAAGTACAAGACTATAGCGTGGCACTTCTATATATCCACCTGGTATTCTTAGAGTTGATATAATGCGGTAAGGATTAAATTACGTATTAACTCTAAGTTATAGCCGTGAAGTCTAATAGAAGGTATTTTCTCTCTGTCTTATTAATCCTCCCAGAGTACATCCTCAGCTACTAATCTATATATAGGTTACTTATTTAATATAAGGTAATCTAAGTAATTATAATAAATAAAAATCTTATTATTATTATAATAAAAATAGAAGGTAGAAAGAGCTTAAGCTTTATATTACTAGTAATAAGCTATCTAGGTAGTATAACTATTATAATAGTTCTATTATATAATGGTTAGATTCCTAAGGGATAAACTAGTCTGTATTAAGTTTATATTAATAAATACTATAGGGGGTTATACTAAGTAGTTATAAAATATTATATCTCTTAATAGTAAATAAGGTAGGTTAGGTATATTTAGGTAAAGAAATTATATTAATAGCTAGTAAGCTAAGTTTTATAAAAGTATTAATAAAAGTATTTTATATACTAAGGCTTTATATATAAAGCTAATAATATCTAAGAACGATATTATTCCTAGACTGATATAGTTCTAGGCCGCTGTTAATCCTCTTAATAGTTGGTTTTTTTATAATTAGTTATTATATAGTGAAAATATAAAGTATATATAATATAAATATAAAGGTTATAATATAATCTTTTTTTTTTATTAGGTCTTATCTTTAAGACCTATATATCCTTACTAATTTAAGATTCTTTTAGTATATTCTAACTTAAACCTAATAGCAATGCCGTTAGCATCTTATACCAGGACTCTGACGGTAAAAGCGAGGTTAGATTAATAAGGGGGTATGGTTACGGCGTAGTTACAGACCTACCTAGTTAATATATAATATAAGACGCCGACGGCAAGACTCTAACTACCTAATAGTAAACCCTAAGCTAACTCTAAGTTAACCTTAAGTAACCTTAAGTATAGAGTTAATAAATTAAAATCTAAAACTAACCCTAAGTTATTAAAGATAAGGCTAAGCCTTACCTTAAGGTAAAGAATAAAGTAATTAATCTATTAACTAATTTAATAATTAATTAGTTTATTACTTTATTTCTTTCCTTTTTTTTTTTTTTTTTTCTCCCTTTCTCTTCTTTTTTTTAATTAACTAATCTTTCTTTCTCCTTCCTCCCTCTTTATAACCTCTATTACCTATAGCCTATAGCCTATCTATTTTTACCCCTTTTATTTAATCCTATTTTATTTAATCCTATCCTATCCTATCCTAGCCTATCCTAGCCTATCTTATCTTTCTTATCTTACCTTATTTTTATCTTTATAAATAAAGAAAAGTAAAGAAAAGGAAAGGAAAGGAAAGGAGAAAAGATAGACTAATTAATATAATAACGCTATAGTAATAATAAAAGGTATTAAGGTAATAGTAATAATAATTCAGCTAGTATAATATAAAAAAGCCTTAACTTAAATATTACTATAGGTATAATTACTTTATTTACTAATAGTATTAATATATTATTACCGACCTTTATAAATATTTACTATAGGCCTATAAAAAGATCTTTATAGGCCGGTATTAAGCCCTAAAGAAACGCTAGGGCGGTAAGGGCTATAATATAAAGGTAAAGGTACTACTAGGGCCTAATAGTAAGCTAAGGAGACTACTAGGCGGCCTGCTAATCTATATAGCCTTTTACTATAATATATAGTAATAAGAAAGAAATAATATTAATATAGGTAAGGGTATAACCTATAGCTATATAGTAAGGTATTAATATAGCTTTTATTAATATTAAAATAAAAGCTATAGGCTAGTAAGAAACCGGTAGGTATTATAAATTAGTAATTAATATAATACTAGGCTTAAGGGGGAGGGTTAGTAAGTAATTAAGGTCTAGATACTCTTTATATAGCCAGTTAAAAGGATTAATTACTTTTAGGTCTATTAGGTAAGTAAAGGTAAGGATAAAATAGATTAGGCTAAAAATAAGGTTAAGATTAAGGATAAAGTTAAAAATAATAATAATAATAATTATAATAATTATAATAATAATAATAAATACCTATTATTACTATTACTATTATTATAATACTAAAGGCTTAATATAAATAGTATTACTATCTTTATTAATATTATTAAAAATTAGGTATATTAAGTAATAGTAAAGGAAATAGCCTGGCTAAAAAAGGCTAAGAAAGTAAAGATAAAGGTATAGACTAAGATAAGCCCCTAGCTTTATTATATTAAATAGGTAAAGTATTTTACCAGCCGTAACCTTAAAGCTATATAGACCTATAGCTAGCTACTTAGGCCAGGGCCTAAAGATTAAAAGCTCTGGCGGCTTAACTAGGTATTTTAGATACTTTTCTTCTAGGCCTAGCTACTAGCTATATAGTAACTACCCTATATAATATAGATCTAGCTTATTAATATATAACTAGAAAAGATAATTAATATACTATTTAGCTTACTATAGAGATAAAGTAATATAAAGTACTATCTTATCTATATATACTAGCTTCTTTATTATTACCTTTACCTTATTACTGGCTAGGATAGTAATAATAGCCCCCTTAAGGCCTGGTATAGTTTTACCTTCTCGATAAGGTAATAATAATACCTTTAGGCCCTATAGAAAGTCCTTTATAATAAACTTAAAGGTATTATAGTAATAACTAGGTTAAGGTCTAGGTCTAGGCCTAGGTCTAGGTCCCTTACTAGCCTTATTAATATAAAAGCTATTATTAAGGTTATTATTACTAATAGTAATCCTATTAGCCTAAGGCTAGCTAAGGCTATTTTTAAAAGCTTTAAAAGCCTTTAATTATAGCTAGTTAGTAAAGACCTAACTAATAGGCCAGTAATAATTTAGGCTAAACTACTAACCTCAGAAAACGGTACGGGCTAATAGGGGTATAAAGAAACCCTATTAGGTAGGTTAGGGCTAGTAATAGGGGGGCTAAATTACTAACCCTAAATTACTAACTATATAAAATAGCTAATTATAAACTCTTAATTAACCCTAAGTCTTTATTTTCGTTCTTAAGGTAAGCTAAGATAGGAAATAAGAAAAAAAAAAAAGTAAAGTAAAAAAAGAAAAAAAAAAAAAAAAAAGAAAAGACTAAAATAGTCTACCTATCTATCTATATATCTATTTATCTATATTATCTCTCTCTCTCTCTCTATTTATTTTAATTTAAAAAGGCTATAACTAATTAGCTTAACTTATCTAACTATATATATAACCTAACTAATTAATTATAATTATAATAACTTAATAATACCTACTAGACTTACTACCTAGTAATATTAATAATAAAACCTAGGTAATAAAAAGAAAAATAGAAATATTAAGAAAAAGAAAGGGTAAAAAAAGGTAATTTCTTTATAATAAAGAATATTAATTATTAATCTATACCTTTTATAGCTATATAGTCTGCTTTTATAATCTAGAAGGCTATTTAAAAGATTATTACCTAGATCTTAACTATTAAGTTTATAACGATCTTATTTATTATTATAAAGGCCTATTATTAATGTTATTAAAAAAGAGACTAAAAGAAAATTAACTAACCTAGTATAGCTTATTTAACCTAACTAAGCCTATTAAAGGTCTTCCTATTTACTAAGGTTTTATATATACCTAGCCAGGCTATAAGTACCTTATACTAAGCTAGAAATACCTATATATATACCTTAATAATAAATATAATATTAAGGTAGCCTAGAGGAAGACCTAAGCAGACCTTTAGGCCGCTATATATTTATAAACCTTCTTTACCGGTCTAAAGAGGGTAATTTATTACTTTTATATTTATAAAATAAAAAAAGAAAAAGGAAAGAGAGAGGAAAAGGAAAGAAATAAAAAAAATAAAAAATAAAAAAATTTTAATAATAATTACCTAGCTAAAAAACTAAATAATAATTACCTATATTACTAAAGGATAGTTATTATAATAAAAAG